CCTTCTTTGCACAGCCAGCCCCCCTGGGAATGGGGGGGGGTCTGCATTCTGCGTTCAGGAGGGTCTCGCAACAACCGCTCAGCCAGCTGCAAACCGGCTACGTCAGACCTTTGCCAAGTCATCTTATCTCCCACCCCCGGACGTCCGCTGCAGAGCGGCCCTGAACAGGCACCCTTTGCCAGGCCCCATGTTTCAGCCGCAGGTTCCCTTGGCGCATCAAGGGGGAGCAGGTGCCCCCTTTGGGGTTCTTCCCCCAAAAAAGGGGGCCGTCGCCCGAGAAGGCGCATTCCTCAACTTTCCCGTCCTTCATCCCATGGATCTTATTTCCTCCGGGGAGGTTTAAGATCTGTGGTTTTTGAACCGAGCTTGCACGATTCGCTTTTATCCTGTTTTTGTCAGCCGTCCCAAGCGGTTAAGGAGACTTTGTGTGTGTGTAGACTTTTTCTACAGCAAGAATAAAAAAAGAAAGTTGACTTCACGGCGTGATGATGAGTCTGATGCAAAGGAATTGTGGGGAAGTAGAGCCCTGCGTTGTGCCTGTTTTCCGGGCAATCGTTATTATCACAATATTTACGATGATTATTTTCAGAGCCGGTGACAGCCACCAAGGGAGGATCTAGGCGCTCGCTTTGGAGGAAAACCCAGAAGGATAGCATCTTTTCCGACTCACACGTTTTTTGAAAAAGCGTAAGCTTTTGCGAGCTGCAGCTGATGCCTTTGAAGAAAACCTGTTAGTCACAAACGGGGCAGCCGGTAGCTTTCTCGCCACCACAGACGGGCGAGGCTCTCTGAGGAAAAAGGCACCGTGTGGCAAAGGAGTGCAAATTCAGTGCACTTTGAGGGAAGGGGATGCAAACGCGTGGTCAAAAGCGGGGTGAAACCCCAAGTCTAAAATGAAGCAACCTCGCCCCTGGGTTCACAGCACTGGCGTGAAAACTTCCAGGGGAGGGGAAAAGTCACCAAGTGGTGATATCGCAGACTTGAAAGAGGTCTCCCAGGTGGCTCTGCCCTCATCTCTCACAAACTCGGGGCCTTCCTCGCAAGGCCGCAGTGGGCCCTCTGCCCCACTCCAGAGCCCCCCCTCCCCTAGAAACGGGGAGGCTCCCATCCTAGCCTGCTGCAAATGCTCGGGAGCCCAGGGCGGGGCCAAGCTGGACGCTGCAAAACCAGCAGAAGAGCAAGAAACCCGCCTTCAAGCCTGAGAAATGAGAACACTGCAAGAGAAAGACGGCCGGGTTGAAACAGGAAGGTCTGCCTGCTAACTTACCTCGAACAAGATGCCACCGGGATGTAGGATCCACAGCATCACCCCGGGCGGTTGCCATGGAAACCCTGCAACACCCCTTCATCCCGGCTGGACCAAACCTCATTTCTAGACTTGGGGAGGTGACTCTTCCTGGTGGGGAGGGGGAAAGCGCTCTCCTCCTTGGATTGCGCCCCCTCAACTGCTCCCCCGCCCTCCTCTCTCCTCCCACCCCCCCAAGCTTTACCTTAAACCAGGGGGCGCCCCGTTTCCGCCGCCCTCGACCTGGCTTTGGGGAAGTCCGGACGCGGCGCGCAACTTTGCATGGCAAACTTCCTCGCCGTCCGCA